CAATCGCTTTCACCTTTGCCTTGTCCACCTGCAAACCATCTTTGGACATCTTGTGCCCCAGAACTATACCTTCACGTACCATGAAATGGCACTTTTTCCAGTTTAGCACCAAGTTAGTCTCTTCACACCTAGCAAGTACTTTATCAAGGTTCATCAACCAGTTATCAAAAGAGCATCCAAACATAGAAAAATCATCCATGAACACTTCCACAAACCTCTCAACCATGTTAGTAAAAATGGCCATCATACACTTTTGAAAAGTCGCAGGTGCATTACAAATACCAAAAGACATTCACTTGAACGCATCCGTGCCATAAGGACACGTAAATGCGGTCTTCTCTTGGTCCTCTGGGGCTATAGCAATCTGATTATACCCCGAGTAACCATCTAAGAAGCAATAATACTCCTGGCCAGCTAATCTATCAAGCATTTGGTCAATAAAGGGGAGGAAAAAATGGTCCTTCCAGGTGGCATTGTTCAATTTTCTGTAATCAATGAAAATTCTCCACCCGGTGACAGTTCTTGTAGGTATCAAATCATTATTCTCATTAAATACTATAGTCATCCCCCCTTTCTTGGGTACATATTGAACGGGGCTTACCCATTTGTTGTCTGAGATAGGGAATACAATACCTGCATTAAGCCACTTAATCTCTTCTTTTCTTACCACCTCTTTCATAATTGGATTGAGTCGGCGTTGTTGCTCTACACTGGGCTTGTGTCCATCCTCCATGAGGATTTTGTGCATGCAGAAGGCTGGACTAATGCCCTTAATGTCGGACATAGTCCACCCAAGTGCTCGCTTGTGCTCACGTAGCACTCTCAACAGCTTTTCTTCCTGCAATTTAGACAATTCAGATGAGATAATAACAGGTAAAGTGTCAGAGTCATCCAAATAAGCATATTGCAGGTGAGGTGGAAGGGGTTTAAGTTCTAATTTTGGGGCTTCCTCAATTGACGGACTTGGAGGAGGCCCCTCTGGTCTATTCAAAGGCTCGAAGGGGTGCGTCCCTTGCAGGTACGCACAAGATGTATCAAGGATGTGCATCATCTCTTCAACCTCCTCATCAGCCCCAGGCTATCAAGTAACATAAGTGCTTTCTCTAGAGAATCATCTAGATATACACTCGGATAGAGAATCTGCTCATCGGCCTCAACAACAGATATCATTGAGAGCTCCTCATAGTGGCGGGGAAGTTGGATTGCTCTGTAGACATTAAAAACTGCTTCCTCGTCATCTACCCGCAAAATCATCTTTCCCTATCTCACTTTGATAATTGCATCACCAGTAGCTAAGAGAGGTCACCCCACTATGATTGGAACCAGTTTATCAGCCTCATAATCTAGGATAATGAAATTAGCCAGGAAGATAAATTTCCCAATTTGCAGCAACACATCTTCAATCACCCCTTCAGGGTGTGCTATCGATCTGTCAGCAAGCTACAACATCACAGTAGTTGGCTTTGGAGCTCCCAGACCCAATTGTTTGAACAAAGACAGGGGCATCGGATTTATGCTTGCCCCCAAATCACAAAGAGCACGACCCACATCAACATTACCAATACGCACAGGAATCGTAAAGCTGCCATGATCCTTAAGCTTTTGAGGGAGCTTATTTTGGACCATAGAAGTGCACTCCTCAGTAAGTGCAACTGTCTTAAAGTCAGTTAATCTTCTCTTGTGAGCCACTATATCTTTTATGTATTTAGCATACTTTGGAATTTCACGAAGCACATCAACGAGTGGGATATTTAATTGAACTTCGCTCAACATAGAGAAGAATTTTATGAACATGCGATCATCATTCTTTTTCTGCAAAAGGTGGTGGTGGTCTAGGGGCCTCCACGGGCTCTGAAATTTCAGCAACATTCTTTTGCTCTTGAGTCACTTTAGGGATCAACTCTCCCTCAGGTATGGGCTTGTCTTTCTTTTTCTTTGGCACTTCCTCTAGCTCCCTCCCGTTTCTAAGTGTAACTGCATTCACTTGAGGGTTCTTTTCTGTATACTGGGGAGGGCAACTGCAGGTCTAGTTTTGAGTTGTTGCTAACTGCCCCATTTGCCTTTCAAGATTTCTAAAGTCGGTCCTGAGTTGCTGATTGTCAATCAACAACTTCTTTAGCAGATCATTAGTACTTTCTTCCATTTGTTGGGGTGGTCTCTGAGGCTGATTGAAATTCCCTTGGGGTCTATACTGAATCTAATTCGGTTGATTTCCACCCCATGAGAAGTTGGGATGATTCCTCCAATTTGGATTGTAAGAATTCCCGTATTGTGCATGGTTATTCGGTGGACCTCTGTTCTGTTGCCCCACATAATAGATGGATTCTGGATTCGTTGGGCACATATCACTCAGATGACTGTCACCACAGAGTTCGCAGCAAATAGTCATCTGTTGTACGTGTTGCATTGTCTATGGTTGCTGCATTGTCATCTGAGTCATTTGATTGGCCAGCTTTGCAATATCGGCTCTCATGGCTGACACTTCGTCTAACTCAAGTAACCCCACTGATTTTTGCTTAACTGCCTTTCGTGAATCACCCTCACCTTGCCAGTTATTATCATTAGCAGTGAAGTTATTCAACAAGATTTGGATTTCACTGTACGGTCTGGCCATGCAACTACCCCCACAAGCGGAATCAAGATTCATCTTTGAAGCATCATCTAACCCATCTACAAAAGTGTGACCCAATACCTTGTCCGTCTGGCAATGATGAGGACAGTCTCTGAGCATCTTCTTGTACCTTTCCCATGCTTGACGCAGTATCTCGCCCGCTCGTTGTTCAAACACAAGAATTTGACTCCTCAATACCTTTGTTTTCTTAGTGGGGAAAAACTTGATTAAGAATTTCCTCGCCAGATCATCCCATGTGCGGATTGAATTTGCTGGCTCTTTATTCAACCAGTCCTTAGCTTCCCCAATCAGTGAAAAGGGGAAAAGTGTCAGCCTGACATAGTCCTTGGAAGCGTTCGGATAGTTGTAGGTATCCGTAATTTCCAAGAAATTCTGAATGTGCCTCCACGGGTCTTCATGAGGTAAACCCACAAACAGCCCTATGGATTGGATCAATTGCACCATGTATTGTTTCAGCTCAAAGTGCCTCGTGATGTCAGGCTTCACAATAGCCCGAGTCATATTAGCTAGACTGGGCCTTGCGGCTTCAATCACCGCACGTTCCTCATTACCTGCCATCTCAATTGGCTGTGGTTGAACTACGATGTCCAACTCTCTTTCAATTCTAGTTCTCGCGTCCACCTCCCTCCTCAATCTGTGAAGTGTTCGTTCAATTTCGGGATCAAAAGGAAGTATATTGTTTGCGCTTCTACTTCTTCGCATTCAATAGAAACTCCTGTATTAGCACACACAAAGTGATCTGAAAGTAAAACTCGAATAAATAAGTAATAAAAGCTCAATTCAGTCAAGTAGCTAATTTCTAAGTCCCCGGCAACGGCGCCAAAAATTTATTGCGACCAAAAACACTCACGCAAGTGCACGTGATCGTCAAGTAATAGAGTAGTGAGTAGAGTATCGTTCCCACGAAGACTTATGATTAACTGTTGACTGATTCAAACCCAATTTCTTTATCTACCCAAGAGATTGTTCACAAAAGAGAGATGTAATTATTTTACTACTTAACTATAAAGAATTAATCTAACTAAAACAAGTAACCAAATGAATGACAATTACGAGTAACAAACAGTAGGAGAAGATATTCCAGGGTCACGGGCATAGTTACAATCGTGTTGTGTTCTTGGCTCAAAATGACTAATCAATTTATCTGGGTTATTGATTGACAGGGTTGATATTACTCATAAGAATCTATCGAGTTCTTACTCGCCTATTCAAGTCAACTCAATGCCTATATGTCTATGAAATTAAGATTAACAAGAACACATTTACAATTCCTGTATTTAAACCAAGCAAGGCAATTGGGTATATGTCTATCCCAATTGCAAATCCGTTCCCCGAGGCCCGGGTTCAAGAACTTGCTCTATTTAATTCTATATGCAACCTAAAGTTCCCACTTTCGAGTTCAACTAAAGATTCGTAGATAGTATTTCACTGTTAGCTACTCAGCAAAATAATTAAGAAAAGAATTAAATAAATAACCCAATATGATAAACCAACTTTATCAAATTAAACTTCAAACAACAACATTCATATTTTACCCACGACCCTGGAACAATGGGTCTTAGTTGCTCATACTAGGGTTCATCATAAACAAGTTCAGTTTCATCACAAACAGCAAAAACAAGAGAAGAAAAGAAGAACTTGATGATCAAAACTCCACATTGCCTCTTGCCTCTCTATCTCTTCCACTAAGCTATGAAAAACTTGATACTTTAACCTTGGGCGAGCTTGACTTTATATAGGTCAAGTGGGTTTCTCTCCAGATTTCCAATTTTACCCCTAAATAACGTTTTTCCGGACCGAACACGCGCGAGCTCGCGCACAACTTCGCGCGTTTCTTCGCGCATGATTCTGTCGCAACTCTTCTTATGCGCGAACTACTGCGCGACTTCGCGCGTTTCTTCGCGCGTTTGAAGCTTGATTTCGTCCATTTTTTCGTCTCGTCCTTGCGCACACTCGATTCGAGGGGTTGTTCTTGCTCATAAATCATTCTAATATCCTCTTGAAAGCATCATATAGGCTCCTCATCCTGCAGTGTATACATATCACAATTAGAGCCTATTTTTCATCAATTAACCATAATATGTCATTGGAATTTAATCAAGCGGAAGCATAAATAATAGCTAAATCACCTATATTTCGCCTATTATCATTGATCATGATCATAGACTCATAGTGTCCAACTGTCCATGCCTCCTGTTGTCACTGTGAGGTCGATCCAATCAAGTGAGCCAATCCTTAAACTGTATCCCAATAAGATCCTCAGCTCAGTAGCACAGATTCGGAATTTTAAACTTATGGATTCGGAATTCAAATTGTTTTAAATTAGTGGATTGTGAATGTTTTAAGACGAATACAAAGTTCAGTCGAACCTGCTCCGACACTCTAGCTCGGAATTAGACTTCTGATAAAAATGTTAGACTTGATGAAGAAGAACCTAAACTGTGTAGATGCTTTGATTTCCTGAAATTTGCTGTTTAACCATTAGACTATGTAGAGAGAAGACGAAAGAATCTACTGCAAGCAAGGGCAGAGCTACAAGTCTGAATACGGGTTTGGCAGAAATTAGTAGCTTTATGTACAGAAAAATTGAAATTTTTTCTTATATATACTACAATACAAACTTATTTATTCGTGTCAGTTAATTTGAAACTCATACATTTAAAATACTAGCTCTCACACTCTAAGATGTCTTCCATCTGGTGCCCAGCTGAAACCAGGCGTGTGTTTCTTATTTTTTAGGATATTTTGTGTGAATATTTTTTTTTATGATTTGAGTATATTTTACTCAATTATAACTAGTATTAACATCAAAAATCATATGGATTTCATAGAAATCGCAAAGGTTTTTCAACAAACCCCAATTTCTCCAAAGCTAGGTTTTTTCTAATACAAGGTAATGTAATTATACTACTCCCTCTTCAATAATGGAGTTCAAATGATGTTATTAATTGTATTTGGGTATTGCAAATGTGATTAGAACATAGTATTATTAGATGTAACCCAAAAAGTGGGCTTGTGAAAGAGATGATGAATAATAACTTAAAGCTAAGGGAATAATTAGGGTAACTGTTTTAATAGCTCTAATGGATCGTGAATACCATGTTTGGGTAATAAAAGGACTTTAATTATGGGAGTAATTGGGCACTGATTTTGTGATTTGCTGTAAAAATTTCGAAACTTCATTGTTGGTTCTTAGAAAGCTGTAGTGAAGAATTCTTGTTGATACACCAAAATTCCTTTTTAACTCTTTGTCCATGATTACAAAAATGAGAACTTTTACAAGCATAACTGATTGTGATTAGCGCGAAGCAGACTATTCATGTTATCCTTAATCCTCAATTAAATTTATTATGAGGGTGTCTTCTGAGAAGTAAGCTTGGTGAATGACCTTCTATTGGGGATTTCTATTTGCAACTTATCTAAAGGTTAGAAATTATTGACTTATTTTAGCCTCTGTATTCCTTTTGGAATTTCACCAAAAAGATTGTTCTTCATGAGATATCCAGAAACTCCTAGCGTATCATCAATAGCTAATCAAATGATCTCTGGATTGTACCTTTTAGTCTGTTATTAGCTAACCAAAATGTAACAAAAGCTGGTTTCTTGAAAGATCTAATTAAAATTTTTTGATGGCCCTCTAACTTCCAACTCTAATGTACCAGCAAGAACACTTGAAGACGTATAAATTAAATAGAAGTTTTCAAATGATTTCATGAACTTGATGGTGATATCGATGTGAAGGGTAGGCTGCCTACATCACATCCTCTTGGCACCCTTTCGTAAATGAGGGATGCTTTGTGCACTGGGTTGCCTTTTTTTTTTTATGGTGATATTGATGTCAATTTGTTTGAATCTAGCAATAGACTTCCACGGTTATAGGGCATCACATTTTGTGGAGATTAGAGGCTCACAATTGATGCAGAAAGAAAGCCATTTAAACTGATATACGAATGTAGTACCCAATATCTCCAAATCTTTGAAATCTTCCCAATTATAAGGAAGTAAAGATAATTTCTTGATCAAGAATCAGTTTACAGGTTGTATTCGGTTCCTTCCCTATAAGTAGCAGATTTTGTTCAATAATTATGGGCTCAAAGTCCTTTTTAGTTACTTAACTATCAATTTATTACTTTAATCAGTTCTAGTGCATACAATGAAGTTCCTAATTAAATAGTAATAGCTACTATAAGTTATTGGATGTTAACATGGCTGAAGAGGTGGTGAAGATGCTTTTTCATGTGTTAGCATTTATTACTAGATCTTGAACATCTTTTCAATCTCTTTTTTTTTCCTAACATGAAGCTTGCATAACAAAGTTGATAATTAATGCTTGTATTATATTCTTAATTAGTTTCAATAATGTAGAACTGTTAGCATTAATATCTTCTCAATAGTATAAATTTAATCAGTTTCAATAAAGATAGATCATATATTGCTGCAAAGATCCAACCAACAAACGCATTTCCCTTCATAGACTCAATGGAGAAAACATTCTTGTTAGCATTTTTATTGATATCTCTTCACATTATAGCAACTTCATGCTTAGCCATGAATATAAGCACAGATCAATCTTCTCTTCTTGCCTTAAAATCCCACATCACTTCAGACCCTTATCGCATTCTCTCAACAAACTGGTCTTCTAGTTCTACCTCAATTTGTAACTGGATTGGAATCACTTGTGGCTCGCGCCATCAACGAGTTACTGTGCTGAATATTTCAGACATGGGCTTGACTGGTACCATCCCACCACAACTTGGCAACCTTTCTTTTCTTGTTTCACTTGATCTAAGCTACAACAATTTCCAAGGTGAACTTCCACCAGAGTTCACTCATTTGCGAAGATTAAGAGCCATTGATCTTAGTTTCAACTTCTTGTCTGGACAAATTCCTCAGTTATTGGGTGATTTAGATGACCTTCGAATGCTCTCTCTGGTAAACAATAGTTTCAATGGGTTTATTCCTTCTTCTATCTCTAAGATGAAGAATCTTGAATTCTTGAATCTGAAGTACAATAATCTAGAAGGAAATATTCCTATAGAAATAGCAACTCTTCAGAGATTGAAACAGTTTTCCTTGGGATACAATAAACTCAATGGATCCAATGTGCTTTCCATGTCCAATATCTCAAGTACACTAGAAATTTTGGATCTCAGAAATGCTAGTTTAATTGGTGATTTCCCTTCTGATTTATGTCGTCGTCTTCCCAGATTACAAAAGCTTGGACTTAGCTCCAATATGTTAAGCGGAGAGCTACCAAGAAGCATATCTGAATGCTCAGAACTTCAAGTCCTATTGTTGTTTCAAAATAACATTGTTGGAACAATTCCAAGAGAAGTAGGTAACTTACTACTGCTGCAATATTTGGATCTTGGACAAAACAGGTTAGAAGGTAAGTGTTCTTACCATTTTTCGTGGGAGTTTAACTTATACAATTAGACTTCTCTATAACATCATCCCTACATAACATCCATTCACTATAAAAGCCAAATTTTTCTCAGAACCAATTTTTATGTTATATTATAATATATATCCTCCATAATAGTACTTCACTATAATAGCCAAAAAATATCGAAACAAACGAGGCTGTTATAGAGAGGTTTGACAGTATACACTAACAAAATAAACAATTTTATAACCTTTTTGGCCAAGCTTTTTAGCTTGGAGGCTATAGCTAATAGTGTTAATTTTTCAAATAAATGCTTATTTTAGAAAGTTGAGGTGTTTGGTTAAACTTTATAAATTTTGCATTTATATTAATTAAAAATTATAATATACTTTGCAATTTTATAATCTTTCATTGTGGACACTTAAAATTGTTTATCTAATTAAATACTATTAATCGTAACGGTCGAACTGCTCGCACAAGAAAATAAAATTAGTACAAGCAACTCATGGATTAATCACCTCATTCCACGAGGTCAAGTTCGAATTGGTCTATTATGACAACCAATATGTTGCTTAACTCTATGGATATATAAAAAAGTCTAAAATATTTATAACAACAACAACCACCCAGTATAATCCCACAAATGGAGTCTAGGGAGGTTAGTGTGTACGCAGACCTTACCCCTACCCCGGGGGTAGAGAGGTTGTTTCCGAATAGACCCTCGGCACAAGAAGATGAAATGCGACAATAGAAAACAACAAGGTCTAATATATTTGTATGTATCAAATTTTCTCTTTCTTTGATATATTAAATTAGGTTAAGACATTTGAAAATTTTATTAAGTTAGTTAATCTAATGAATGATGATTTATTAGTATCAAGAACTCAATTTAACCAACAAACGATTGAAATTTAATCATTAAATTTAGTTTTGTCTGAAGTAGTACTAGCTTTAAAATTCCATTTCAAGAACTATGTTTAGTAAAATATGTAAGAATTACTATACTTATTATTTGAAGAGATATTAAAATATTTTCACTTATGTTGGCCAATTGCGAATATAGTATTATTATATATGGTTTTGTTTGATTTTCCATGAGTATTATTGTATAGAAGTTAAATTAAGTATATGATTTTGTGTAAGTGATATTTATGTTTAAAAATTTGACAGGCACAATTCCAAATGAGATTGGTCATCTTCATAACTTGAAGGAATTGATGATGGAACAAAATGCATTAACGGGCTCAATCCCTGAAACCATATTCAACATTTCATCGCTTGAAGTTTTATCAATGTGGAACAACCAGCTTGAAGGACCTCTACCAAAAAAAGTTGGAAATTTGACTATGCTTAACATACTTGATCTTGCAAATAATACCTTGACAGGTATGGAAAAATATTTAAACCACGTCCATTTAAGAATTTTAGGTTTTTGGATACTTCTGCTTATAAAAGGGCAAAAGGAATAACCCGGTGCACAAAGCAACCCGCGTTCACGCAGGGTCCGGGGAAGGGTCGCACCCCAAGGGGATGTGATGTAGGTACCGTACCTTGATGCAAGCATCAGTGGCTGATTCTATGCCTTCAAACCGTGACCTATAGGTCACACAGCTATAAAACCTCGGGGATAAAAGAGCCAATCAATCCAATGATCCCCATCTTCCGAAAAAAAGAAAAGGGGGAGACAACTTGACCGTTGCTCCTAGGCTCCCCTTCTGCTTATCCTAATATTTATTTTGTTGCAGGTGTAATTCCAGATGAAGTTGGTAATCTTCAAGAGTTGGTTGGCCTTACATTGTATCTCAATAACTTTAGTGGATCTATCCCTATTGGTATCTTCAATATCTCAACCCTTAGAGCTATTTCAATCACAAATAACCACATTTCAGGTAAAATTCCTTCCACTATAGGCAAAGGGTTACCTAATGTTGAAGGAATTTATCTATCTGAAACCAACATTAATGGTGTTTTACCTAGTTCCATCTCAAATTTGTCCAAGCTTACTGTTCTCGAACTCGGTGGAAATGAACTTACGGGTTCAATTCCTGAGTCTTTAGGAAATTTAAGACAACTTGTAAGTCTCAACTTGTATGGTAACTCCTTCAAAAGTGACTTGAGCTTTATTACGCCTTTGGCCAATTCAAAACACTTGTATAGATTGATATTGTCTTTCAATCCCCTAAATGCAATGCTTCCGAAATCCATTGGCAATCTTTCTTCTCTTCAAATGTTTGAGGCAATAGGTTGTAACCTCATGGGCCATCTTCCAAATGAAATAGGAAAATTGAGAAACTTATCTTCTTTGTTCCTGGAAGATAATGACTTGACTGGCGTTGTCCCTACGTCAATAACTTCTTTGAAAAATCTTCAACGGCTTTCACTTGGTGCAAACAGATTGAGTGGTTCTTTCCCAAATGGTTTGTGTGAGCTATCCAACTTGGGTTTGCTAAACCTTTCACAAAATCAAATGTGGGGAAGTATTCCGAGTTGCTTAGGGGATGTGACTTCTCTTAGGGAGATTTATCTTGATTCCAATAACTTCACTTCTAACATACCTTCAAATCTATGGAACCTCAAAGATACTTTGAAGCTGAACTTGTCTTCTAATTTCTTCAATGGGTCTCTACCACCAGAAATTGGAAATCTCAAGGATGCAATACTTTTGGATCTTTCCTGGAATCAAATCTCAGGCAACATTCCTAGTACAGTGGGAGGTCTACAAAAATTGATTCAATTATCATTGGCTCATAACAGAATTGAAGGATCTCTTCCTGACACTATTGGGAAACTTTTAACTTTGGAAGCATTGGATCTTTCATATAACAATATATCTGGTGTGATCCCAAAGTCATTAGAGGAACTTAAGCAACTAGGCTCCTTTAATGTCTCATTCAACAGGTTACACGGGGAAATTCCGAATGGAGGACCGTTTGTTGATCTCCCTTACCAGTCTTTCATGTCGAATGAAGGATTGTGTGGTAACCTTCAAAAGCATGTCCCAGCTTGTCCTTCTAATAATCATTCTAATTCAAAGAAAAGAAGACTCGTATGGATTGTCGTTGCCTCGTCAGTTATATCTGTAATAGGGCTTGCTTCAGCAATAGTTTTCATGTTGATGAGACGTCGGGGTAAAACAGTCAATGCTGAAGATGAGTGGTTGCCCGGGGTAGCACCGCAAAGAATTTCTNTGTGGCCAGCATTGTGTCCAAAAATATTAGTAGCATTACATTCCGTAGTTTTTCTACCAAATGTAGTTCCTAAGATGTCTGCCCATAATGCATAATTAGAAAACACCGGAGGAACTGTCAAAATCGTTGGTTTGTCAAAAAGCTTCATCTTTGCTCTTCTTTAGCTAGGAGGTCTGCCATCTGATTCTGTTCTCTGTAATTATGGCTGATGATTGGTTTCCTCAGTCAAGCCATCAATAACTTGCATTCAAAAATAATGGGTTTATAAGGCAAGTGTCCTGATTCCGACATATTAATAACTTCCATAGAATCTGTGTTAATGTGGAGTGGAGTCAAGTTTAGTTCCACTGCAATGTTGAGACCCTGAAACAAAGAATTTAATTCAGCCAGGTTATTCATGAAGCCTACTACCCAATCACCTTTGTTCTGATAAATGTATATTCAATAAGAAAATTGTGAAGATTAATACAAACTATGAGTTCATGCAAATTGAGAACTCATAAACTTAAAATTCTGGCTTCGCTTCTGATTGAGATGAGACTCTCTATAATGTATAAACACAAAAGGTAGCTCGTGAGGCGAGGATAATCCAAAGCTTTATAAAGAGACAAAAGAAACATCGCTCATATAATGTGGGCACTTAACTAATGGTACTTATCTTGCCTTACTTTGTACCTTTGTGAGCCTAGTCTGGTAGGATTTTTGTCTAAGATAGCTAGTGGCAATGTCGTGCCTTACTATTTTCTCTTTTCGGTGCAGGACCTATTTACTAGTCATCGTTTTTGCTTTGCATTTTTCTTCTGCTTTTTATGTTCCTATTTTCCCTATGATATCTGTAGTGAAACTAATATTGTCTCCTTTTGTCTTTTTATTTCTCTTGAGCCGAGGGTCTTTCGGAAACAACCTCTCTACTTCTTAGGGGTAGGGGTAAGGTTTGGGTACACACTACCCTTCCCAGACCCCACTTGTGAGAGAATACTTGGTTGTTGTTGTTAACTAATGGTACTTATTGTCATATATTTTTACTTCACATTATAAATAAATATGCAATACATTGGCTCATTGATATATTGAACCATTCAAAACACTCTCATGGTACCATATCACCCTTCTTTTTTGGGATTGTTACCCAAATAGCCGATCGAATTTACTGCTTATATTTTTTACTATACAAATTATACACTGATTATATACAGTTATAAACAATGATTATATACAGTTATACACTTATTATGTAAACATGAATTATACATATATTATACATCTACGAGCTAACAACTTGTTTAGATGGCTGTTATCTATTGTATTGTATTGTTACTTTAAATATAATATTTATTTTGATTGTTACTTAAATTTTATTGTATTGTATCGTTAAATCCGTCGTTACGTAACGATAAAAAGTGTCACTTGTTAAACCAAGATGAGGAAAAGTGTCACTTTATGCGCCAGTATGATCGGGTCGTTATCTTGCTTTTTTTCCTCATCTTGCCCTTCTTTATTATTAAATAAATATATTTTATCCTTTATCTTAACTTTTTACATAATAATTCTATCATGTCTCCTACTTCTTTTATTTAATAATATTGCAAGTTTATTCTTCATATTGCTGGCGCATCACATCATGAAACAATGACAAATTATATAATCTATTCAAACATCGCATTCATCAAAATAATACAATACAATATAATACATTATGAAATGACATGCAATAACTATCCAAACAAGCTATAAGTTTTAGTGGTTGGTAGGCAAATTTTTAGGTTAATTTTTTTGTTTTATTTAATTTAAATATTATACACTAAGAGTTCATTTGATTTAGAAATAAATTATGCAAAAATTGTAATATCGGAATTAGTAATGCAGGAACTAATGCATAGATTATTTTTTTATAGTTGTTTGGTTCATTGTATTAAAAATGAGATATAATATGTATAATCTAGATCATGTGTTTGATCTTAAGCTGAATACAAATGGAGAAACTTAAAATTACCATAATTTTTCATTTAAATACCTCAAGTAAACCTTGTTTCGATTGAACACTTATAGTAGGTTCAAAGTACCAATTAGACACAATGTTGACATTGTTGATTGCGTGAGTTGCACCGTATAAAATGTTCTTTGGCTTGATATTCCTAGCTGTAGTTTTTAAGAAATGAACCACAATTGGTAAAAAAAAAAAGAAGTGAAAATAGAGTAATTAATAGATGAAAGTGTGTGTGAACATATATTTATGAGTCAAAAATACTCCTAGAACATCAATTGAGGATTATGAACACAAGCATTCTACAGGTACAACTCACACTATCATTATGAATATATCTGATTGAAATATTATAGGCCTATTGTAGTTGTTCAATCAGACAAGGTCTACTTTAGGTGTCCAAATAAAAAATCGTGATAATTTTAAATATCTATGTATATATTCAGCCTTGATTTTAAGTTGGGTAGATTTTTATTTTCTATTATAACCATGGTCCTTAAAGAAAGACAAATGCCCAAGGGTATTATTGAAAAGATTTCAAGAGAAGGGTGATTTTGTCAATTTGATTATCTCTATGTATGAGTAATCCATATTTTGCTTTTCCCACATGGAGGTAGTATAAAATAATATAATAACTCATGTATAAGCTTATACAAGAATTACTTATATCAGGAAAGAAAACAGTAACCAAACAAAGAAATAAAAAATGTATAATTTATACCATGTGTTAGTTTATATGAGTTCACCAACTATAGAGTACTTGGTTCTCTATGAGTTTTCACTGAGAATATTAATGAAGCAGTAAGTAAAAGAGATACAGGATTTTTACGTGGAAAAATCCCACTCAAGAGGACAAAAACCACGCAGGCTTTCAACTTCACTAACTTGTAATCACACAATTACAAACACTTTGTAATAACTCTATTACAAAGACTTTAACTCAACTAACTCGTGATACACTTACCACAAGTCACTTTGTCACTTACTAGTTATAAAGACTTTAACTTATGGCTAACTCTAGTCACAACACAAACTTAGAAGGTTTGTGATTTTGGGTTTCCTAAAACACAACTTCTAAGAAAGCAAGATAGGAGTTACAATAAAGAACAAATACAATATTACTACTCAACTACGGATGCACATAGACTCATTGTGAAACTGATCTTTTAGTGGAGTTGTCTTCTTATTCTTGACACACTAGTGACTTCAATGCTGGATCAACACTTTAATGCTTGAGAGAATATCACTGAATGCTCAAGTGAATATCTTGTGTCTTGCACCATGTTGTTATACTAGCAAACACATCACAAGGATGATGTCAATTCTAGGTACACGCCTCTTCCTAATGGGAAGTGACTGCTGCACTGTTTGATGTACCTGCACTATCGCGTGTACAGTTGCAGGCAATCACTTTTTGCAGTTGCTTTCCAGTTGTATCGTTGACTTGTACTTCTGTCAGAAAACACCAAGGGATCAGGTCCCTGTCGTGTTCCTCTTTGTAGCAGTTCATTAGCTGAAGTTCAGGCCGAACTTCGTTCATTTGAAATGTGTACCAAGTGAGTGAGGTTCCCTATCTGGTTCTTTACAGTTAGTTTGTTAGATCATCAAAACATAAGGCAAAGACATTGAAAACCCATCAATTTCCCCCTTTTTGATAATGACAAACTTAGGCATATTTAAAGCAGAAATAACCAGACGAGGTACCAGGAACTTCACAAGTTCCCCCTGACCTTTTGGTTTTGATTCCCCCTTCATCAAATCCCATGTTTCAATAAATTTTCACAAGTTCCCCCTTAATTAGATCCCCTGTTTCAATCAATTTATGTTGCATATAGTACTATACAATACATAATTTTCTTTCCTCTTTTGGCATCATTAAAAATACACAAGCAGGCAAATAACATAAAGAAGTCTAACACAACCAACTCATGCCGCATATTGCACACAACGTGACAGAAAAGAGAAGCCAAAGGAAAACAACAATGTACAAGCAAAAAGAGGAGCTGTTTCATTGATATGAACAATGGACTGAGCAAAACAAGAGCAGTAATGTTGAAATCCAGCATGTCATCAACAACAATACAAACAAAAATAGAAACAGCAGCCACAAAACATCATAACTGGTCACTAGGAGGTATCTAAGAGGCATTAGAAGAGGGAGACTAAGAGAGAGAAGCAGCAAGGGTCTTGAGAACCAGGTCCAGTCAGGCATTTGCAGATAGCTGGTCTTCAAGCAGTTTTGCGCGAAGCTTATCATTTTCCTTTGTCAAGCGGGCAACTTCTTCATTGGTGGAATTAATAGAACCTGATCCTTTAACAGCTTGATTGAGTTGAGTTTCTAGTATGGAATTTTGAGCCCTTAATCTTCTGATCTCTTCAGAAACAGCATTTTGAGCATTGATCAGCTGAGAAATAATCAAGATGCTTCCACAAACCTTTTCTACGCACTCACATTCTTCCAGAGTGGTTTTAGAGAAGGTTTACTTGCGTGTGCCCTCTTTGGGATTACCCAAAGGAACCTTGTAAAACTTAAACACTTGAGTGATTAGAAAGCCATATGGAAGCCCATGATTCCCACCTTTAAAGTTTGCCACCTTTTGCATATGATCTATCATGATTGCTGGCAGCTTGATCGGGACAAACTCATCAAGAGCCTTTATTAAGACCAGATCAGACTTTGTAGCAATATACCGCCTCTCAGAACGAGGTAAAAACACCTTATTCACCAGCTCAAAGAGAAGGTGATACTCAGGAAGTAGTACCTTCTTATGTACTTGTTCCCCCTGTTGAATAGCTTGCTCTTTCATGATAGCTCTCCTAAAGTTAGCACCACATACACCTTTGACTGAGGACATTCCTTCACATGGAATTTGGAGAACCTTCCCTAGAGTTGAAACATCAAGTACAATGTCTACTCCATTTACTAGCATGCAGATGTAATCCCCCTTAACAGTGAAGAGAAATGCGTAGAAATTTTGTACCGCATCTTCGTACACCGTAGGCACATCCTCCTGCAACAAGTGCTACCATTGCTGAAATTCCACTATCTCTAGAATTTGCCTCATACCTGCCATCTCTGAGATTGTCGGATCAAACATACGACCCCACAAG